CAGGAAAGGTGGTGTTGAAGTTTTACCCTGAACTGTCAGGCAGAGAATTAGTCGTGCTGTTTATCTGATTTCTGCTGATTTGTCCCTCTTAGCCAGCGTGGTGTTATTCCTTGTGATACCTTCTGAGGGGTTTTCTGTCTTGGGCAGCTCTAAATGCCAGAATAATGACTTTTTTCCCAGTTTAGAGAGACTGATTCGTTGTCAGGCAGATCAAATACTGAGCTGGTGGTTTTTAGACCTTACGAGCCACGTTTAAGTTCCTTTCTTCGTGCCTCAACGGTGCTGTACTGGAACTGGTCTGAGCTGCAAGCCCTGCGTTATCCCCTGTCCCCACCCTTGTCACGGTACCTCTTACGTACTGGGAGGGTCTGGGAGCTGCAGTTCAGACGTTGGGACTGACCGACCGTTACTTCTGGGTCGCCAGGTGTTAAGCTGCCTGCTGCAAGCAGTCAGGATGAGGATGAGGAGCCCTTCTTGGTTTGTTTTTATTAAGATGCCATTTCCTTTTGCGGGGGGACCGAGGCTTTTGCATTCTGTTTTCCAGGGAAGATCGACATGGTGAAGTCGAAATGGGGCCTGGCGCTGGCGGCGGTGGTGACGGTGCTCAGCTCCCTGCTCATGTCCGTGGGGCTGTGCACCCTGTTTGGTTTGACCCCTACTCTTAACGGAGGGTACGTGTCCGGCACCGAGCCTCTTCCTCAAGAAGGGTGGCTGGAGGTGAAACCGTTTGAAAACAGCTGTTAAATGCTTCATCTATAAGATGTGGTATTTTCCAAATAAGCTTCTGTGATGTTGTTATCCACACTGCTGTGCAAAGTTACGGGCAGGTGCTCTCCTGGGCTGAAGGGCCACGTGTTTGTGCTGGCCAGCAGACAGGCCTGCCTGGCTCCCACTCGTCCTGGAGATGCCTCGCTGCCTGGCAGTTGGCGCTTTCTGCCTGAAGCAGAAGGAATTGTTGGAACAGCGTCTTATTCAGGACTTGATTGTCTGGCAGTGAAGTAGGCTCTGGCGTTCCTTCCTCCTGCAGTGCCTTGTCGTAGCATCCAGAAGGGCTCGGTACCTTTTCTCTGGCTGACGGAGGTTCGTTACGTTTTTACTCAGAAAAATCTGTAAAGGTGGCAGAACTGACCTCATTTCTAAAAGTAGCTTTCCAGCAAAATTTCTTTGCCTCAGAATGATTGCGCAGACAGTTTCCTTTGGGCTCCAAACTTAATCTTTGCAGTGCTTTATAAGTGATGTCTAATTAGATGGAAGACCCTTGGATTCGGGGGGGGGTGTCTGAGGACATTGAGGGGTTTTTTACTTTTGGGGAGTGACCTCTCCCTGCTCCCCCGGTGTCTGCCAGAGCACTTCTCCGCTAGATGCCCCGTTCCCCGCTGGGGACGTGTGTCAGGTACCGGTGGCGATGTGCTGGCTTGGGGTGCAGAGTCTGCTTCAACTTTGGTCTGACTTCCAGCCTGTTTTATCCGTCCTGTTTGCAGCAGAGCCTCCCAGGTGTGGGTCTGGTTGTTTCTAGTGGTACCTGTGTCTACGATAAGCCTTTTTCCCTCGCTGGTTTTCGTAAGGTGTTAAAGCAAAGCTTGTGGCGTAGGGATCAGTGTTTGCGTGCTACAGATACGGTATAGAAACTGGACCTTTATCAATCAACTTTTATAATGAAGTAAAACAGTTATAGGTGAGGTAGGCATTAGGCTTACTTTACAGGAAGGAAAACTGAAGTAGAAATAGGTGACACGATCTGTGCAGGATTTAAGAAGGCATAGACAGTGTGGAATGCCTGAGTTCACTGGAAGTGGGATTCCTGTGTGCTGGTGGACTGGGAGAGTCTCTAGCTGAGGCCAGAGCACAAGCCACCAACCCACAAGTGATGTCTCAGCCAGGTTAGAGGAATCACAGTCGCAATGGTGAGCTACTTCTTGTTGCCTATTAACAAAAAAAGGCTTAAAGCGATGAGCTCAAGTGTGAACGTCTGCGTTTTAGGTAGGAGAGGCTGATGTCGTAAATTCTTCGGTCCTCCAGACGTTTTGGATGAACCGGAGGTTGCCTCTGTTCGCGAGTCTGTGTGGAGTCAGAGGAGATGTGTTTTCTCTAGGAGCGAACAGTAGCGTTTCTGCTGGGGCGCTGGACGATGCTGTGGTGCGGCGCCTGCTGGCGTCGACGCGGCAAGGGAAGGGCAGGTGTTCCAGCGGACGGACGCGATCCGGCACCTCCCCTTGCTCTGCCTCCGGTACGCTCCTCCTCAGGGCTCGGCCCCGCGTGGCAGAAGATGTGCCGAGGCTCTCTTGCCGTCGGCCGCCCTCGGAGTGGGGACCAGCGACGGGGGGGTTGGGAGCTGCGGGGTGTGAACAGCGTCCCGTGCTTGTCCTGCAGAGTCGCGGCGCTCTCCGAGAAAAGCCGATGTCTCGTTGCTTTTAAACGGCTGGGCGTTTAACACGAAAACTGCTGACTCCACGGGCTACTGAAACTCCTCACCCGGGACTGGCACTTAACGATCTTCCGCAGTAAAAGCTGCGGGTTAAGTAGGACGTAGTGGACGAGAGAATGACGAGGTTTCTCGTCCCTCTTGGGGCTGCCTTCTGAAGGCTTGCTGCAGCTTCTCTGGAAACGAACCCCCTGCGTCTCTCGCAGGACTGCGCAGGGGCAGGGCTGGCAGGAGCCCACCCGCGCAGATACCGTGCTCGGCAGGACGGCGCTGCGCTGTGCCGGGCCGCTGAGCTCTCCCTCCTGCTTGTTGCATTCTCTTTATTGAGAGATCTCCCTCCCTAAGGATTACAAAGAGCTTTTCTCACAACTGGCTCCTGTCCTAAAGCACTGCTTGGAGGAGTGGCGCAGGTTACGGACTGAAAACGCTTTAGATGAAGGCAGGACTGAGTTGTAGGTGCTGGATTTTGCATTCTTTGACATTAACAAGAAGTTGCCCATGAGAATCTTAACATATATTTTTTTCACTCACTGTGGAAATTCACTGCCTGCGCAGCTTTTGGACGGGAGGTGAAGGGACCGACGTGTTGCACGATTGTTGGAGCTAAAATTGGGTTAGGGTACCTGGAGAAGGGTGTGTCGAGTTTGGGTTTTGGGGGTTTTGTTTTTTTTTTTTTGGTGACCTTGCTTTCAGTGGAGCTCTTGCTGTTTCAGCTTGCCGTTTGTTCGAGGAATCAGTTGGAATGAAGTAGCTGAGTTAGCAGAGGCTCCAGACAGACGTTTTTCCGCAGCCGAGCCTGTACAGGCTGCTGACAGCTCTGCGTTTGCAGATGTTGTTGGAGCCCGGGTCAGGTGGCCGTAGGCGACGGAAAACAGCGTTTGGGAAGGTGCTCCTTGGGGGCTACGGCGGGTGCTGCCAGAAGGCGGGAGGTGTTCTTCTGAAGCCCTGGTGTTCGCCTGCCTTGGCCGTTAGTGATGTGCCAAGGGGCGCGTGTGCGCGCACGCACGTTCCCCTTCTGGATCGTCCTCACCAGCCCAGCACAAATCCCTTGCCCTCCGCAGCGAAAGCGTCGGGATTTTTGCCTAAGTTTAGCTGGAGGGAGATGAAGAGATTTACTGTCTGCGGTGTTCCGGCATGGAACAGCTTTTTCCCTCTGATCCGGACTGCTTGAAAGAGAGAAAATAATTCAGGGGTGAGAAGAAGAGTTGAATAAATTCACGGTGGTGACCTTGAGTAGTCTTACTTTGCTGCGTGCGTGTTTCTGAGGGGCGAATCCGTGTCGGTGTGCCTTCTTGACTCTCTCGGGTAGAAGCTCTCCCTGGCAGGATTTGGTTCGTTTGTGTACGAAGCGTGTGCACCTTTCACGGCGTTCTCTGCGTTGTGGCTTCTGAGCTACCTGGAGAACAGAGCCCCACGCACGTCAGCTTGTCTCCTCCCGCCGGAGAAATCCCTTCGCGTGTGTCCTTCGCTGCCCGAGCCTGGGCCGCTGCCTGCAGCTGCAAGGCGTGGGAGCTTTTGCCCGCTGGGAGTCTGAACCAGGCTCTGCCCGTGCTCTTCCGTTGAGGAATTGCTTTGGAAGGTTTTGTTTAGTGTAATGCTCAGCTGTGATGTATGAGGGTTTTCCCTGCGGATGGTGGGACGTGCTCCCTGCCCTCTGGCTCCGACGCTCTCTTGCTGAGCCTCTTGCAGTGGTGTTCGAAGTCCATCTTTTTGATCTGCACCTCTAGGTGCTGGACAGGCTTTGAGGGGCCCTGTCCCAACCTCGGGAAGCGTTAAGACTAATTTAGTGGCGGCCTAACGATGGCCATTCTCCAGAAAATCGCGCGGCTTTGCAAAAACGTTGCTGTCCGTCCAAAGCAGATGAAATGCAGGACCCTTACATCATCACAGAGCGGTGTTGGATGAGAAGGGATTTGGGCAGGATGGTGTTTCCTCGCCTTGACGCTAGGAGGTGTCTTCGCTGCTTGACTGGTGTTCTTCCCTGCTTTTTTCACCAAGGGTCTCATTCTCAGTTCTGGTTCTGTTTCCTCTAGAGAGATATTTCCATACTTGGTTGTGGTGATTGGCCTGGAGAACGTGTTGGTTCTCACCAAGTCGGTCGTCTCCACGCCCGTTGACCTGGAAGTGAAGCTGCGCATCGCCCAAGGTAGGGAGCCCGCTGTGCAGAGCTGTGCAGGGAGAGGAAAGGAGGGTGGCCCAAGGACTGGCAGGTGGGGGCTGATCCTCCTTCTGGTCTGTGAAGGAAACAAGGGCTCCGCACGTTGGGTGTGAACTGTGTACGTTCGCCTCTTTGTGCTGTCTTTGTTAATTCCGAGAGCTAATAGCACCCTGTAGTTGTGGGCGCTGCTTTTTGAGGTTGGTGACTGAAGCATGGGCTAAACAAGTTTAAAAAAGTGTGAGTGAGGGCGAGCTGTGTCTCGCGGTGCAGATAATTAACACCTTGTCCTCTCGTGTCAGGAACAGCCGAAGTGCAGTCCACAGGTCATAGGAAGTTCTGCTGAGTCTGTGGCAAAATGATCTTCTTTATTGTAGATGCGCTCTGTACCTGCATAAAGATTTGAGTGTGCTTAAACCACGGATAAACGGAGTTTGCAAACTTAAAAGGTGTTTCTAAACATCAGAGAAGAGAGAAATCGAGAGTGGTGCCTAGAAAAATCTACCTAGTTTTACAAATACAAGTGGTTTGTGTCCTGGATCGAAAACAGGACTCAAAACCTCAGTGGTCCCTCACACGGCTGAATCCCCGCCTTGCCCTGGGCAGCACCCTCCGGCGGCTCACACAGGGCAGCTGTGAGCGGCCAGCGTCATCCTGCGCCCCCTTTGCAGCTGGGGACGGTGCCGTGAATGCAGCCGTTGGGAGGCTGCAGTCCGATTCTTTGACTGAAATACTCAAAATAGGTCAGGTGAATTCCAGTCTGAAAGTGCCTGTGGACGCCTGACTTCAAAGAAGGGAAATCCAGTTCCCTCGTGCTACGCTCGTGTCTGTCCAGGAGTGAACGGTCTCCTTGTACCTGCCTCCGCCTGTTCTCTCTGCAGGCCTGAGCAACGAGAGCTGGTCCATCATGAAGAATATGGCAACAGAGCTCGGGATCATCCTGATCGGGTACTTCACCCTGGTCCCCGCCATCCAGGTGAGCGCGGCCGGTCGGTTGGAGTTCGCTCACGCTGCAGGGGCCGAGGAATCCGGCAGGAGGAGAGCCGGGCTCCTCCGTGCGGCAGGGCCCGTC